ACGGGTGTTATCTGAAGACAATACGTGGCCATTACTGTTTAAATACACAATAAGGGCCCACAATGATAACTGGTCAAAATGTTAAAACTTTAGGATTGTGAAGTTTTTGATTTGGTTCAGTATAGTTCAAAGTGAATTCTGCATGCAGAATGTAGTGCTTGTTACACCATGTCTCAAATAGATTGGTACAAACATTTCAGGCTGACTGGGCGGTATTGAGGAATAAAACAGGCGTAATCTAACGTTGGGCAAACGTTGGCTTTCAACGTTGGGCCAACGTTTTTTTGATCGGCGGTCCTATGTTGGGCCAACGTTCGTGCAATGTTTGATTTTGATATGTATATTTTCGGAAAGAAATATGATTCTTTACATGTTTTTAACTTCGAATATTTCTTTTTATTTCAACTCTTTCGTGGATAGAGTTCAAAGTGAATTCAGCTTGCATGATGTAGTGCTTGTTACATCATGTCTCAAAAAGATTGGTACAACCATTTCCGGCTGACTGGGCGGTATTGAGGGATAAAACAGGCGCAATCTAACGTTGGGCCAACGTTGGGTCAACCTTAATTTGATCGGCGGTCGTACGTTGGGCCAACGTTGGTGCAAAGTTTGATTTTGATATGTATATTTTCGGAAAACAAATATGATACTTTACATGTTTTTAATTTCGAATATTTCTTTTTATTTCAACTCTTTCATGGTCAGAGTTCAAAGTGAATTCAGCTTGCAGAATGAAGTGCTTGTTACCTGATGTCTTAACTAGATTGGTACAAACATTTCAGGCTGACTTGGCGGTATTGAGAAATAAAACAGGCGTTATCTAACGTTGGGCCAACATTGGCTATCAACATTGGGCCAACGTTATTTTGATCGGCGGTCCTATTTGGGCCAACGTTGGTGCAAAGTTTGATTATGATGTGTATATTTTCGGAAAAATGTGATTCTTAACATGTTTTTAACTTCGAGTATTTATTTTTATTTCAACTCTTTCATGGTTAGGGTTCAAAGTGAATTCAGCTTGCAGAATGATTTTCTTGGTACCTGATGTGTTAACTTGATTGGTACAAACATTTCAGGGTTCCTGGGAGGTATTGAGGAATAAAACAGGCGTAATCTAACGTTGGGCCAACGTTAGCTATCAACATTGGGCCAACGTTATTTTGATAGGCGGGCCTACGTTGGGCCAATGTTGGTGCAAAGTTTGATTTTGATATCCATATTTTCTGAAAAAGATATGATTCTTTACATGTTTTTAACTTTGAATATTTCTTTTTATTTCAATTCTTTCACGGCTAGAGTTCAAAGTGAATTCAGCTTGCAAAAAGTATGACTTGTTACCTGATATTTTAACCAGAATGGTTCAATCATTTCTGGCTGCCAGGGAGGTATTGAGGAATAAAACAGGCGTAATCTTACGTTGGGCCCAGTGATCTGTGTCATGGAATGTTGTTTGTGATATATGATAGGAGTAATTGTATATGTGTGATATGCCATATGCGCCATGTATCCCGTGATATATGTCATGTAATGTGTGTAACTGTATATATGTGATGTGTTTTATATGTCATGCATCATGTGATCTGTCATACAATGTTTTTGTTGTAATATGTGATGTGATCAATTGATATTTGTGATGTGCCATATATGTCATGTATGCGTGCCATATGCGTCATATCATAGTCATTGTATATGTGTGATGTGGCATGTGCCATATCTGTCATGTATCCTGTGATATGTGTCATGTATTTTTTGTGTTATGTGAGTAATTGTATAAGTGCGATGTGCCATGTGCAATATGTGTCATGTATCCTGTGATCTGTAGCATGCAATGTTTTTGTTGTTATATGTGATGTGATCAATTGATATTTGTGATGTGCCATATATGTCATGTATGCGTGCCATATGCGTCATATCATATGTGGTATATTTCATTTCATATATCATTTGTCATTTTATATGTGAGGTGAGATATGTGTAATGCGATGTTATATGCAATGTGTCCTGTGTCTTGCGATTTATATCAGGAGATATGTTTCATGTGACGTTTGTCATGAGTTCGTTTATATGTGTCCTGTATCGTGCGTCATGTATTAAGTAATGTGCCATATATATCATGTATCCTGTGATATGTGTTCTGTTATGTATTATGTGATATGTGATTTACCTTTTATGCGTGATGTGTCTTGTTTCATGTGATATTCGATATGTTTATGATATGTATCATTTTACCTGTGATATGTGTCATGTATTCTGTGGTATGAGCCCCGAAAGGTTTTTCGTAATATGGGGCGTCCGGTATTTGTCATGTGGCATATGATGTGTGTAGTGTCCTGTTTTGTCATGTGTCATGTCCTAGGTGATATATACGTCTCATATGTCGTGTGTCGTATCATGTGAAATGTGATTTGTGTGATGTATCATGTGTTGTGTCACGCGAAATATGTCATGGCATACATTGAATATTATGTAATATGTTATAGTGAGTGAGTGAGTATAGTTCTTTTATACGCATCTTTTAGCATTATTCCAGCAAAATCACGGTGGGGGACACCAGAAATGGGCTTCACACATTGTGGCCATGTGGGGAATCGAACCCGGGTCTGAAGCGTGTCGAGCGAACGCTTTAACCACAAGGCTACTCCATCGGCCCTTATGTTATATGTTTCATGTGATATTTGATATTTGTCATTCCACGTGGATACATGAGAAATGCGTTATGTGTCATGCCATGTGTGTCATGCGATAGATGACGGGTAGCATGTATGAAATGTAATATGTGATGCGTGATGCGTGATGCGTGATGTGTGATGTGTGATAAACAATGTTACTCAATAATCTTACTCAGTATTCGCATGATCGAGTAACCCTGACACATCGCTACAAACATTAAAGTTGCTATCCATAACCGTTTTATGTCCCCATGTTCCTACAACTTCTAAATGGCTAACAAAGAGTATTTTACAATTAAATGAGCATTAGACCGGTGTATACAAAGTAGTATCTTGCTGTTAAAAAGAGGAATACTGGTTTGACAGTCAACTCATCTCTCATCAATGTTATGCAACAAACAGACACCGAGTTATGTTCGGGGTAGTGAGTGAAATGTGTCGACCATATCCGACACTACTCGTGAGAACACCAGAGATTATGTCATAGAGTTCACAGAGTAATAGTTCATTACTTTCTGTTCACGAGGTCACGGCAAGACCTTTTTGTCTCCAGCATTAAGACTTTAAATTACGTATAAATTACTCTGGCATTTAAACTTTAATTACGTACATACTTTGTTAATAAAGATATTCAATTGGCGCTCATGACCATCTGTTTCGCTATGTTATTGTGTAAACACACGGAAGTAACAGCTGTAAATACGTAAACTATGCCATTTCATTTCAAAATAATGTTTAATGCAATTTAATTAGGTTTACACGTTTGAAGTAGTCGAACTTGAGAATGTAAAGCTTTTGGAAGCACGTGAGTAAAGATGAATATCGTCAAAGAAACATCTATGTGATATACTAGTCATTAACAATGAATGTTGACAAACTGCAGCAATTACCTGTAAATGAATTTACAGGGTTTCTGTCGCGAAATCGTAACATGACAGCTTCTTTTATCAGTAAACATTCAATATTTGTAGAGACATCGTATTTAGAAACTGCAGACATGTTACATTGCGGCGCATGTTGTAAAGTGCATCTGGTGTTGCGGTACTGTCCGAACTCCCTACCCTTACTCTGGTGAAGAAACATTAAAATGTCCTCAGATTATGTAAGATATATGGTAGCTTTGCGTGGTTTATAGCTCCTTACCGATATGTAGTTCGCTTTGGGACAGCACGCTTCAGATCCTGCCCCACGTGCGGGCACGTGCGTTTGTCGGTTGCATGCCGATTTAGTGTTTTATGGTTATAAAGGTGGGTTGGACGGGTGGATTTAATTAGGAAATAATGTAAGCTATGTGATGTAGATACATTGACCGATTGTGTTGGGAGGTTTGTAGGGGTGGTTTGTTTGTCCTCGTAGACTGTGTTAAGGATGCTGTAGTGATTATTTATTAAAGTGGCTTAGTTAGGGGTTTATTCGTCTGCTTCTGGGTTTTATTCTTAAGGTATAAGTAAGTAGGAATTTTGGCTTAATAATGTAAATTTTAGTTAGGAATAGTATTGACTAATTTGTAATTGTTGTTTTATATTTTGTTGTGTGTTTTTTATTTTCTGTAATAAACTGTTGAAACTTGATTATATTTTGTCGTGAATGATCCAACGAACTGAGGTCGTAAAGGACAGACGGAGGGACCGTAGACACATTCTTTAGTATTTTCGGCATCAATATCTCCTTGATAAAAAAATCACAACGCAAAGTCATGAAAATATTAGGTGTCTAAATGTGCCCAAAGCCTGTCCTGTTACAAGTGACACACCAAGCTGCCACTAACAGGTGAGGTGACCCTCCTGACACAAGTACCCCACCCCTACCCTCATTGTTTTTACCAATCACCCGTTTGACTGATCATAAATATCCAACGGTAGGTGTTGACAAGGGCGCAGGTTTTATCACACGGTTGTTTTACAACATGGTTTTTTTTTGTGAAATCACAGTGTCTATTAAATTATATTTAATAAAAGCATAACTTACGTTTGGTGATATTTGTATTTACACGGTTGTGTTTCTTCAAAACAAAGAAATGATTTTTGAATGAAGGAACACGCGCTGGTTCATGGGACAAATGTTTACATGACGCTAAACATTGAATTATATTAGACATCGGTTGAGTTATATGTCTTGACTGCCAAAAATATCAGACTTGTGCAAAGGAAAATTGGTCACCACGTGGTTTTTCCAAAACATATTGCTGCGCTTTTCACACCTTAGGATGTCTCCGCGGAAACAACACGATCAACTGTGTAAAACCGGCCACAATGCTTAGAGTTTCTGGACAACAGATTTTTAAAGAATGAAAATTGGACCCGGTATAGATAAGGGTAGAAAAATCTTTACCTCGTTGTTTGTCCATTGAACTGTCTCCATGTGGGTCGGGCGGGGTTCGGGCTTGCAATTGCTACGTGCTTGTTTTTTTTCCAGTGTGTGGGAGGGGGTTGTGTTTGTAAAAAAGTCATATAGGCAATATACACAAGACGCACATTTCTCAATCACCGACTTCTTGGAATGCTCTCTGTGAACACGTTTTGGTGGACGTCCATTTTGGGGAATCACGTCGACTATTCATGTCTACTCTTCCTCTCTTCGTTCCGTTTTCTTTATCATCAGTGTATGTTTCAAACAGTTCATTTTCAAAATAAATTCCATCACGTTGTCCAAGCCGTCTGTGTATTGCTTTGAAAATGTCAATGCGTGTATCCTCCACACTTTGGATATCGTAGGCCGTCTTCCTTGCTGTGAGAACTGGTCAGTGCTTCAATGACCCTGCACGGGCTGCCCATTGTTTGTTGATTGCCTGGACGCTGGGTCAGTCAGCAGTGACAATACTTGTGTAAATTCGCCTTCAAATTTGTTTACATTTTGGACACTTGATTTTAAGCAAAACGCTCAATAATGTTCATGATTCACTCACATATACCCATTCCGGGTTGCTTCAAGGTCAAATTACATTATTTTTGCACAACATCATCTCATAATTAACGCGATTGTGACGGAGCATTCTTTTCAGCGACATGCTATTCAGGCGCATGCGCATCCTGCTATGATCTACACTAACACCCAATGTGATTACGTACCAATATACATGTTGCACTCAATGTGTTAAATCTGATTCATTTAGGCAATTTCTAAAATGTCTAAATATTTTAGTCATTTTACAAATTAAGTGACAAATCTGTTCATTGTCCATTGACACGCTGACTGATTATACACATTGTCTGAAACATAATGTTATGTGTTGACAACCGGGCTGTGCACATGTAGCACTTTAAAAAGCCACGATGCATACTGGCATCCAGGGTGTACATGTGCCACTATATATAGCTACGTTGTATACTGACATCCTGGGTGTACATGTGTCACTATATATAGCTACGTTGTATACTGACATCCTGGGTGTACATGTGTCACTATATATAGCTACTTTGCAAACTGACATCCTGGGTGTTCATGTACCACTATATATAGCTACGTTGTATACTGACACCCAGGGTGTACACCTTTCACTACATATAGCTACATTATATACTATCATTCTGGGTGTACATGTACCACTATATATAATTCTAGGTGTACATGTGACAGTATATATAGCTACGTTGAAAACTGACATCTTGGATGCGCATGTGTCACTATATATAGCTACGTTGTGTACTCCCGTCCTGGGACTGCATGTGTCGCTATATATAGCTACGTTGTAAAATAACATCCTGGGTGTGCATGCGTCACTATATATAGCTACATTGTATAATGACATCCTGGGTGTACATGTGTCACTTTATATAGCTACATTGTATAATGACATCCTGGGTGTACATGTGTCACTATAAACAGCTACATTATATACTAACATCCTGGTTGTGCATGTGTCACCAGGTAAACCTATTTCATATACTTACATACTTGGCGTGCACGTGTCACTACATATAGCTACGTTGTATACTGACATCCTCTGTGTACATGTGTCACATTATATACCTACGTTGTATAATGTCACCCTGGGTCTACATGTGTCACTATATATAGCTACGTTGTATACTGACATACTAGGTGCACATGTGTCACTATATATAGCTACGTTGTATATTGACATCCTGGGTGTACATGTGTCACTATATATAGCTACGTTGTATACTGACATCCTGCGTGTACATGTGTCACTTTATATAGCTACGTTGTATACTGACATCCTGAATGTACATGTGTCACTATGTATAACTCTGTTGTATACTGACACCCTGTGTATACATATGTACATCTACCACTACATATAGCTACGTTGTATACTGAATTTCCCTGTATATTTGTACCACTATATAAAGCTAAGTTGTATAATGACATCCTGGGTCTACATGTGTCACTGTTTATAGCTATGTTGTATAACTACATCATGGGTGTACATTTCTCACTATATATATCTACGATGTATACTGACATCCTGTGTGTACATATACTACTACATACAGCTACGTTCTTACTGACATCGTAGGTGTACATGTGTCACTATATATAGCTACGTTGCATACTGACATCCTGTGTGTACATGTGTCACTATGTATAGCTACGTTGTATACAGACATCATGGGTGTACATGTGTCACTATGTATAGCTGCGTTGTATACTGACAACCTGCGTGTACATGTGTCACTATATAGGTACGTTGTATACTGACATCCAGGGTGTGTATGTGTCACTATATATAGCTCCGTTGTATACTGACATCCTGGGTGTACATGTGTCACTATATATAGCTACGTTGTATACTGACATCCTGGGTGTACATGTGTCACTATATATAGCTACTTTGCAAACTGACATCCTGGGTGTTCATGTACCACTATATATAGCTACGTTGTATACTGACATCCAGGCTGTGCATGTGTCACTATATATAGCTACGTTGAAAACTGACATCTTGGGTGTGCATGTGTCATTATATATAGCTACGTTGTGTACTCCCATCCTGGGAGTGCATGTGTCACTATATATAGCTACGTTGTAAAATAACATCCTGGGTGTACATGTGTCACTTTATATAGCTACGTTGTATACTGACATCCTAGGTGTACATGTGTCACTATATATAGCTACGTTGAATACTGACATCCTAGGTGTACATGTGTCACTATATATAGCTACGTTGTATACTAACAACCTGGGTGTGCATGTGTCACCATAGATAGCTACGCTGTATACTAACATCCCGGGTGTACCTGTGTCACTATATATAGCTACGTTCTATACTAGCATCTTCGGTCTACATGTATCACTATATATAGCTACGTTGTATACTGACATCTTAGGTGTGCATATGTCACTATTTATAGCTACGTTGTGTACTGACATTCTTGGTGTGCATGTATTACTATATATAACTGCGTTGTAAACTGACTTCCTGGGTGTGCATGTATCACTATGTATAGCTACACTACTGCCTTGAAGTTCATTCCCCTTACACGCATGGGAAACGCGTTACGCAACCCGTGTGCACCCCGTTTGTCACTCGAACCCGTCCGCGACGTGTGTGATACCCGTGTGCAACGCGTGACACACTCATTAGAGGGAGAACAAACTTTTGACCAAAGTAGGATCCATGTCTAGCTGAACCTGGACTTTCTCTAGAGTTTATTTCCTCCAAGTTTCAGGCTATAGGCCCATAGAACATACATGATATCAATAAAGTGTATGCTTAATACATGAAATTAATATAATACATAAATAATATATCAGTGAATTGTGAGTGACTCGCGTAATCTAAAAGCGTGGTAGATATATTTAGCAAGTTGTGTAATAGTGTATTTACATTTAGAAGACATAAGATTTACAAATTTTTCATATGATGGATTAGTGTGAAAATATGTATCAATAAAATGTAAACGTAATGTTGAATATGAAGTACAAATAAGGAGGAAATGATATTCATTTTCAATGTAGTTGAAGTCCAATTTTTGACATTGTGGGCAAAATCTTTTGTTTTCTTCTATATTGGTATGACGTCCAGTTTCGATCATAAGTTTATGGCAGCTGCATCGGAATCTTGTTAGGGTTTCTTTATAGATCTTCTTGTTTACTTCCTGAAGGTACATTTCTATTGTTAATACCGATTTGAAAGTTAAATATGTTTTAAGTTTTGATTTTTGAGATAGGTTTTCAGTCCAACGTTGTTGACCACAGTCCACGATACGTTGTTTATTGTCAAATGAATATTTGCGGATCTCCAACATCTTGAATTATCCAGGCGTAGCCAAATCCATACTTGAAAAGAATGTTTTTTTATATATGTTGCCCATGATATACGTCCAGCTTCATCTAATGTGTACATCATTAAATACGTTTGCTTCGGTAGACGATCAGTGTTCATAGAGATTAATTTTGTCCAATATTTAATACATTTACTAATATAATACACATATAATCGTTGTCTTCCAGTTTCACCAAGAACAGCGTCATTGCTTGCATTATTTGGTAGGTAAAGAATCCGTTTGTAATATTTAGTCTGTACCATCTCTTTAGTTTCGTAGTATTGGAAACCCCAAACTTTAGAGCCATATGTTAATATTGGTAAAACCATGGATTCGAACATCTTGATTGCAGTAGTGATTGGTAATCCTCCACATAGTTATTTTATAGATATAATGACATACTTTTTCTGCTTGTTGTGAAAGTGTTGCCGTTGCTTTTGTCCATAGCAATTTAGCAGTGACAAATAGTCCCAAATATTTATAAGATGAAACAGTCTCTATCTTTTCTTCTCTGTAAGTCCAATTTTCATAGTTCCTTAAACGTCCACCATTTCTAAAACGATTATCTTTGATTTGTTCATATTTAGAGACAGTCCCCATTTTTTACAAAATTCACTTATACATTTGATCTGTTGTTGTAATCTTCCAGTGGTATCGGCAGTGTTGGCAAAATCATCGGCGTATAATAAAGAACAAATATTTGGTGCTTCTTCTGAGATGAATATTCCACGAGAGTCAGATTGATTTAGTTCGTTGACCAATTCATTTATAAACAGGCAAAAGAGTGTCGGGCTGATCATGCATCCTTGTCGTGTTCCAATAAAACAGTTAAAATATTCAGTTAAACCATTATCAGTTCTCACACAAGCTTTTAGTTTCGAATACATATCTCGTAGAATTTTTAGAACTTTTCCATGGATACCATATTTCATAAGCCGATGCCAAAGCAAGTTATGGTGAACAGTCAAACGCTTTACTGAAGTCAATGAAGAGACAATAAAATCTTCCACCGGTTGATTTTGATAGGTATTTCTGTATCATTCCATACAATGTGAAAATACTGTCGACTGTTTAGCGTCCTTTTCTAAAACCAAACTGGTTTTCATATAATATATTATTGTCATCACACCATAGCTGCAGGCGTTCGTTGATAATTTTTGTGAATATTTTCCCCAAAACGGGTAATAATGAAATGCCTCTATATATAATTATTCACACTGTTCGTATCTCCATCTTTATACATCGGACATATAACTGCTCTGCGCCATGATTCCGGATAAACACCTGATTTCATTATCTCGTTAAACAGATGCACACATATAGGAACAATAATATCCAAAGAATTTAGAAATAGTTCAGAAGAGATCCCATCACATCCTGGTGCTTTATTTGATTTCATGTTGATAATGGCTGTCTTCACTTCATCACTTGATATCTCTCTGTTTACGTCTTCAGGCGATCCACGTTCACAAGCCTCACATACATCATTGTCATGCTGTGATATGTCTGATTTTACTAAATCTTCAATAGATGACTTCGAACGGGGAGAATTTAATAGATTCTGGAAATATGAAAACCATCCCCAAGAACTGATACTGTTTGTTTTCCTGCAACATTTTCTTTTCTTGATTTCCTTCCACAGTTTGTTGTTATCACTTTTTATCTCATTAAATCTATCTCTGAGTGAACGCTGAAATTCATCTTGTTTCTGTTTGCATAATTCTTTAAAGGTTCGTCTGTGCTGTTTATATACTTGGTAATCTTCATCTCTATCCGTGTCTCTGAATCTATCCAGTGCAAA